CATTTCTCATTCTGATTAAAAGAATTTGATGGATTAAAAAAAGTACTTTTCTTTTCCTAAATACATAAATTCTCCAAGAAAATACAAATTTGTTGGAGTTTTACTTTTCAGTCAATCATTTAAATGTGTGCTTAATGACTTATCAGGATTAATTGATTAACAGTAATTTCATTATTTATTTGTAAATTCAAAAATGGATACATTAAATGATTTAATGGGAAATATATTTCTTTACTATTTCTATATTTCTTTAATTTAATTTTGTCCCAATCTGTCCTGTAAAAAAAGTCAGTGTAGAACATCATGATTATTCAAATTATCTTAGAACCCCCACCTGGCAATTGATGATCCATCACACCAAAAAAGTAGCTTTGTATAAATAAAGTCATAAACCATTTTTATGTATCTAGAGCCAGTTTGAAAGAGGAATTTCAAAATGAAATTATTGCTGCCTTTTCTCACCGTGATATTTATTTATTTCCATGTATTCATTTATTTTTTACAATTTTTTCTATAATCTTTTTCGATTATTTGGTTGGATTGAATATTTTCACCATACCCTTTCGCCTGTTTTAAAATCTGTAAGTAGATAAACTAAACTTAAATTGATCTGAAAAACAAAAGGAAAAATACGATAGAAAGCATCTTTGCTTTTTTTTTTATTCTAAAACATTTTTGAACACATTTGATGGCCTCTATATGGACTCAATAAACTGAAAATATATTGTCAACTTAGACACAGTTCACAAAACATATTGTCCCCTGACCATGTTAGTTTTTAAACTAGAATTAAAACTATGTTGCAAACTGATAAGGAGACCATCACAGAGGACCCCTTGAAAAAAACATATATTCACTCTTAAAAGAGTTAATACGTCCATATTCAAGTCATGCATGTATGTGGTATAATCTTGTTTATGCATGGCTCATTTGAGAATAAGATTTTTTTAAATTCTTAATAAATGCATGAAAAGTTTGGTTGATTTTCTGCTTGACCGATCAGGAATTTAAGTGAAATTGGGCTGTCATACCAAATTAAAAGAGCTGAATTTTGATGTTCCAGAAAGTTTCCAGGGAGCAACACTACAACGGTGACTGAGACAGAGGAGGAGAAAAGAGGAGCGGCTCTATTCAATATTATCATTAGGCACATTTTCTTAGTTAGAAAATTTTATATCTCATATCGATCTTTGTCTTTCCCTTCATTTATGTAGTAATCAAATCATCCATTTGATGAAACATCCATCCAGTGGGATCCTCTTCTTTACAACCTACAGCATATTAATTGTTCTATTAATCAATGCCAGTGAAGCTATCTAACTTGTTTTGTCTTTCCATTCATATTGATTGCTTTTGTCTCTTTTTGCTTACCCGTCCTGAAATCAAATAAATCATCACAATAGCTGTGTTGACTGCACAGACTTTCCTCTCTATCATGAGGTGAAAATCATAACTTTCTCTGTCTGGATGAAGTTGTTTTCCTGTGGAAAATCTATCCTCTCTTGGAATGAGTTCAAATATCAAAGGTACATTTGTCCATCATCCTCCAACCTGCCAGCTCATCTCTTTTCTCTCTCTTTCTTCTTCTTCTCCTCCATGACTGAGGTAGGGATTGACTCTCCATGAAGGATGTGCATTGCATTTTTAATGTGGCTTCTCATCAGTTTCTTCCCTCAGCAGAACCACAAAGTTTTCTTTCACATCCCAAGTGGAGATCCACTTATTAGGACTGGCTGATGCTCATTTATGATTAATGATGTCTCACCATGTTGCTTTTGCAGTTCTTTATATTCGGCATATTCACATATTTGCCTCTGCTTTCCAGAACAAGTATGCAGATGTACTTATGAGTAGATAATGAGATGACTACGGGTGACCTTGCAGTGATCCTCTCTGTGTGAGCTGAGGAAATAGGGTTTTCTTTTTTTAAATGGAGCACAGAGCTCTGGTGGGTTCTATCTGTCTGCAAAAACTCTTTGTTGCTCTGACTCTTGGTCAGATTGTCAGAGAGAAGATTGCATGGATTACTACTAACATCTGGTGAAAATGTCATGTCAATAGCACCTATAGAAATATACAGTATTTACTGAGAATGATGGTAAGGTGTTCAATACTTATTTCACCTGCTGTGTGTGTGTGTATATTCCATTCACATACCACACATTTATGTGAGGCATGTAAATGGAAATATACACATATCTGTGGTTACTTTTGTCAATTTTCAATTTATTTTATTTTCATACCCTTTTAATTAAAGGGTATGAAAATGTTTCTTCACAACTGTATACACAAGTCAAAGGAGTTAAAGGAAAACCTTAAACATACCAATGAAATATATTTATCTTTCTTTGTTTTATGTTTAAAAGTAAAAAAATACAGTAAAACACAAAAAGAATCAGAAATACAGTACCTTTATTGCCCAAGTTTGTACAAATAAGATGTATGAAATCAGTCTTGCATCCTCATAGCATACAAACAGTGAGTGAATAAAAGTATTTTATCACAATCTTTCTAAGACACAAAAAAATAGAAATATTCTTTGGACAAAATTAAAAAAACACTTTTGGGGAATTGTGGACTGAGTGGTGATGGAGCCGGTAGCACTGCCTTGCCTTGCAGTAATAAGGTTCTGGGCTCAATTCCTGGCTAAGGGCCTTTTTTTTTATTGAATTTGTATGTTTCCCTGTGCAGGCCTGGCTCCTCTCTGGGTACTCTGGCTTCCTTCCATAGTCCAAGAACACTTGTGTTGGGAAAAAAATACATCTCCTATTAATTCGCTTTTACATATTTAGATCTATGAGTGCTGAGTTTCATTCATTCAGGCCTCAGAGCTTTAAGGCAACACAGTGTCTAAGGGAGAGGGATTGTTTATCCCATTAGGGAGTATTTGAGATCAAAATAATGACTGTTTCAAACTGTGTCGGCCAAGTCGAGTTCTAATGCCTCCGTATATGAATCATGCGCGCCAACCACTGCGCCACTGAAGCAGGCCCAAAAGTAGAAATATTCTTTGGATAAAATTAAGAAACACTTATGGGGAATTTTGAGATGAACGGTTGTGGAGCTGGAAGCACTGTCTTGTCTCTTACTTGCCTTGCAGTAAGAGCGTTCTGTGCAGGGTCTTTTTGCATAGAGTTTGTATGTTCTCCCTGTGCAGGCCTGGCTCCTCTCTGGGTACTCTGGCTTCCTTCCACAGTGCAAAAACACACATAGTAGGAAAAAATCCATCTCCTTTTAATTCCATTTTACAGATATAGATCTATGAGTGCTGAGTTTCATTCATTCAGGCCTCAGAGTTGCAAGGCTACACATCATCTAAGGGGGAGGGATTGTTTATCCTATTAGGGAGTATTTGAGATCAAAATAATGACTGTTTCTGAGTGTGTGTGTGTGTGTGTGTGTGTGTGTGTGTGTGTGTGTGTGTGTGTGTGTGTGTGTGTGTGTGTGTGTGTGTGTGTGTGTGTGTGTGTGTGTGTGTGTGGTTGCCATGCGACAGACGCCTATCCTATCCAGGGTGAAGGCCGCCTCACCCTGGATAGAAATGCATCAACCCCACTGTGACCCTGATGGAGTAAGCAGGAGAAGATGGATGAATGTGTATAACATGGAACATCCTTAGAAGAAAAAAAAACTTTAAAACAAAGATTTGACATGTACATAGGGAAGATGTCAGCAGTGGGTAGTGTTTTCACAAAGTGCAGCTGGAGTAGGTCCGGTCCATGAGATTGGCTGATGGTCTGTTTAATCATCAGCAGAGAGGCAGTGAGCCTCCCCCAGGGATGGGGGAGCTCTCAGACATGCGCTCTATACTACTGGGGATGTTTTGGTTTTGAAGAAGTTGATTTTAATTATGTCTTTAATCTTTAACAGCTGAAATGTTTTCCTGAAGGAAGTGTGATAAACAGTGCATTGATTGGGTTTGATATGTGGCCTTCATCTGAACTCAAGGAGCATAGATTGAGTTTAGATCTGGTAGACCCTCTGTGCCATCCTCACCACCCAGGTTTAGTCCTTCCTTTCCTGTGCCTTGCAGCTCCCATACTACCCTGTCAGGCTGAGCCTGGTTCTGCTGGAGTTTTCTTCCTGTTTAAAGGGAGTTTTTTCTACTCCACTGTCGCTGCATGCATGCTCATATATGAGGGGTGGTTGTAGGGTCAACAGAACAATGAAAACAAATGTCTGCTATTATACATGTGCATCCAGGAGGAGTGTGTCCTGCATAGTCAACGACTTCATGCAATTTAGATGACATGTGTTTGGAATTGGCCTAAAGTAATAAATTAAAATTGGAATTTTGACAGCAGGTGTTTTCAGTTCAGTTATCTGTTCATAAATGATTTTTAATATATTTTGAATTCCCCCTACTAATTTCCTCATTTACTATCTGATTACAATAAATAAAGTTTTCAAGTCACATGCAATTAAGAAAAAAGATAAGGACTTGCAGATTTTAAACAGCCACAAAAAAATGGATGTGCGCACCTGTTAGCTGGTAAAAGTGCCAATGAGATTCTTTGAATAGTGACTCTTTTTTTTCAGTTTCTCATCTTCTCCCAGTGTAGATCTGCAGAGTGGTGCAGTGGTTCGTCCTGCCTGCCCCCTGCAGAGAAAAGCCATCCTCACTTGAATACCTACCTTGGCACTTTACTGCATTTTTTGCATGTTAGTGTGCTTGATTGTTTGTTTGTGCGGATATGTTCACTTTATACCCCCAAACACATATATACACAGTGTGGATATAGACAATGGATGGATGAGCTTCTACTCCAGCCATTCTCATGCTTTCATCAGCTGCCGTCTTAAATTCTCCCTCCGTCTAATTTTCTCTTTTCTCTTTATCTTTCCCTTCATCATTTCCTCTTCTCTCCTCTCTTTATTCTCATACCTTTGACTCTTTAGCTTCACCCCGTCCCTTCATCATGTCCTGTCTGTCTATTTATCTACTTGCCTCTCTTGATTTATACCTCCTGCTTCTCTTTTTGTTGCTCTATTTTCCCCAGGCACCTCTTCATCCTCAGAGCAGCTGACCTCCCTCGGTAGCCTGTTGGACGATCAGCACTGGCATCACTTGGTAATGAGACAAAGAAACTCTCAACTCAACCTCACTGTGGACAAACATACAGAGACAGTTGAGACCCCTAAAGGCTTTAACCTCTGGGACGTCAAACAGGTGCACAGAGAAATTATTTAAACCATAGACCTGATTTTTGAAGCTTATTTACATGCACACACAAAAAAAATACTAAAGTCTGTGTTTTCAGTTAACATTAGGAGCATACCAGGATCTTGCCGGTGCCCAGAAATACTTCCAAGGCTGCATGGAAAACCTGATGTACAGCGGTATTAACCTGACAGAACTGGCTAAAAACAATGACCAGCAAGTTCATATTTATGTAAGTATACTTTTTACTCCTTCATTTTAACAATCTACAAGACTGATTCTATCAGGATGACCATGAAATAAGTATTCCTGACACTTTCAGTTTTCAAGTGTAAGTTTCAAATTGTACATGCCCAAAGAGAACCAAGAGTGGATTGTTTCGACTTTTCTAAAAAAAGGTCAATTAAAGAAGCAATTCCACAATATAATTGTTTTCCAGTCTTTATCTTGTAATAATTGAAAAAAAATCTTCTTCTTTCTTATGATAACACATCGACTTCGGAAGAACTTTTGTTATTTTTCTTTAAGTGATTAAAGTTTTCCTTTTCATTGGTTTCTGTAAAAAGATTACCTTTATCTGTTAGATACAGTATGTATTGAAACCATGAGCTGTGGGATGTTGCATATATATATATATACATACGTGTGTGGGTGTGAGTATAGTGTGATATGTATGTAACGCCATAAAAGAAATACTTTTATACATTTAAAGGATCGACAAAATAATTACAATTTGCTTTAAAAGTCCATGTTAATCCAGAGATGGTTAGAGTTTCCAAACACTTTACTAAAGTAAAAGTAGCAATGTCTTTACTTGGCTACTTTTTACTCAAGTAAAAGTAATAAGTAGCCATTCAACATATTAGTAGTATTTGGTAAAAAGGCTACTCAAATACTAAGTAATTGAAAATAAAATCTGATTTGCTATAAAACAACATACAAGTTATGCTCATCACATGGTATGTTTAAGACTAAAATTAAACAGAGAAATCATACAAATTATTGCCATAATTGCAAAATTCAAACGTTAAGGCACAAGAAACCCTTTTCCAAAACATGTCTTTTTTTTTTACCATCCCCTTTTTTTTTACCATTTCCATCCCTACAGTGACTGTTACAACAGTTAAGAGCAGCTCTATTGATAAGATCTACTGTATTCAACTAACCTTCAAATGTCATCAAAGGTTAAACAGATAGAAAATAATGTTGTGTACAAAAAAATGACAATTTTAGAGTAAAATTAGCAATACTTCTTAATAATGTTCATCAAGTAATAGAATAAGATTAGTAAAGAGTATGATTCAGTTAAACCTCTAAATATAAATCTTTGTCCACAAAGTTCCCGTATAAAACATGACTAGTTCATACTCACCTCTGTATAAATCAAAGCTCTGACACCAATAATTTAGAAGCTTTTTTTAGAAAGAGTTATAGGAGGTCTCAGCTTTATTTCTGTGTTGTGAGGAGGACAGATCACATAAACCTTGTGGGAAGACAGCTTTGATGTTCATCTCCTCAGGTCTCTGAGCTCTGGGCTTTCATATCACACTGAACACTGAAGAAAGACCGAATCAGTCGCAGCAGCAGAACCATATATGAAAATAAAGAATATGGGAAAATTATATTCCGCCGTGACAGTGAAAACAGCTGAAATATGGAGCTCTTTGTTTTTTTTAGATGCTTTCTACCAAAAGAAAAGAGTAATTAAATAATCAATAAAGTAAAGCGACAACTTTCCAGATATTTGCAGACACATCGATGAGCTCGGAGCTCCAGCTGCAAAACCGGCTTTAAAACATTTGAAACTCTTTTAATAACAGAAAAAACAGAGCACGGCTTTAAAGTCATAGGGAAATCATATTTAGATGTCAAATCATTTTGGCTTAAACGTGTATATAAATGTACTCTTTATCAGACCATATTGTCCCAAAATTTGGAAAATTTCTATAAAAAAAAAATCCTGTCTTAAAATCTGTGTTTTTTTTCCGTTGTCTTTTGCAGGCCAGTTAGTTATGCATCAGCTTGTACACCTAAATTCGGCCAATCATATATCAACGGTCATCTGTCAATCAAATTTTTGGGTCACAGCATCTTCATTCATATGTCGCAGCTAATATACACAACGGTTAAAATAAAAAACAAGAATAATTTCCTTTCCCATTGAGTTCCGTCCCAGTGTTCATGGGGATGGACGTCTGTGTCTTCAGCAGGCGTAGAGCTAACAGAACTGGCAGGGTTGTAAGGCGAGGGCTCAAACATGTACGGCTGGAAGCCTTCTACACCAAATCAAGCTTCTGCTGCCCTGGCATCCTCTTCCACAACATCTTCGTCCCCGCTTTCGTCCTCTAAATAAAAATGTATGATGGAGGAGACTCATCCACGACCTCCGACACAAAACTCTCCTCCTCTTGCATGTTTCCTCTGTCCATAGCGTCCCTTGACAGTGTCGTTTCTAAGTTACCAATTTAGTGCTACTTGGTCCCAATGGAATTTCCCATTGGGAACCTACTAGCACTAAGTTGCTAACTGGTTAGCAAGCTGATTCCCACAGACCAGCCATAATAAAACTTGCTTGCGAACCTTCCACCACAACAATCCCGCCCCGTTGATAATTAACCAATCACATTCACTTTATTCACTCGTTTAAAGTCATGCACCACTCGTGAAAATTTGGAAATGCAACGGTTGGAACAGCTGCTTCCCTACGACTTTAAGTTTAAACAGCTTGGAGTGCTTTTTCCAGTAGATGTTTCCTCCTCTGATCTGAAACAAAAGTGCAGAGAAGCATGATTCCTGAAAGAGGCTGTAGCTGTAATAGTGAGGGTACATTAACTTAGTTGCTGCCAAATTTGAAATGTTTCCTCTAAAGCCAAACTTTGATAGGTTTCAGTCCAAAGGTGTATGGGTTTTCTTTGGGTTTTGTGTGGATAGAGTAGCTTCGATGGACTTTTATAGTCCCATTTTTACATTACACTTTGCGGCGAAAATGCATTCTGAAGCACAAACTTTCATATATCACTTTAACGGCTTTACAAAGGGCTTTTAGATGTCATCTATGGCTACGTTCACACCGCAGCCTGAAGTGACCCAATTCCGATTTTTTTGCCCATATGTGACCTGTATCTGATCTTTTTATGACAGTCTGAACGACACAGATCGGATTTTTTCAAATGCGACCCAGGCCACTTGGATATGTGGTCCTGAATCCGATACGTATCTGATCTTTTCAAATGCGACCTGTGTCTGTACGGCCAGGTCGCATTCATCCGACCTACACGTCATTGATACTTGACAAATATTACTAAACGTTACTAATCTGCGTCCTACTAAGCGGAGGCGGGAAAAACTAACAACCATGGCGGAAGATAACACAGAGAGCAGTCAATGGAGAGAAAGTGAGGTTGCTGACTTAATTCATATTTAGAAAGCTCGATTCAGACCAAACTCGAAGGGTCTTACCGGAACCGGGGGAGGGTCTTTCTTTTTGATCTTCTTAAAAAGATTTCGTTCGTAATGTGCCTGCTCCTGTTGGAGAAGAACTTAAAGAACGCAATATACGCTGCGGTATTACGAGTCATGTTTACTTCCGCAAAAACTGAGGACGCTTGCTACGTGTGACGTCATCGCGTCCTCGAGTGCGCATGCGGGACACTTCGGTTGGACGCATTCAGTTCACACAGTAGATCACATACAAGTCGCATATACTTGGAAGTGTGAACGGACATGCAAAAAAATCCGATTTCACAAAAAAATCGGAATTGAGCATTAAGGCCTGCAGTGTGAACGTAGCCTAAGTTTCCAGAGCATTATAAAGATAGCAGGATGATATTCCCAGTAGAGTGCCGCCACAGTAATATATTACGACTGTGGCTTTAGTGGTAGATGCTGTGTCATTACCCCTCAGAACAATGGGCTAGAATGAAATGACTGTAATGTCCATACACACCACCCCTCCACTGTTTTCAGTTGAATGACTTTAGTATTTTCAGTTAGTGCTTCTGTTCTCAAGGAGACTTGCTGATGAGTCTGCTGCACCATGAAGCCACATGGACACGCCCCTTGCAGCTGATTAATATTCATGTTTTCTGTTGTTTTATCTCTCAGTAATCAGTCCTTCTGCCACTCCTCTCCTTTGCTTTCAGGGCAATGTGACCTTTACTTGTGCTGAGCCAGTTTCTGTTGCCGTAACTTTCCCTGGGCCCAGCAGCTTTCTTCAGTTGCCGTGGACAGCACCATCTTCTTCAGGCGAAATGTCCTTAGAGTTCCAGTTCAGGACATGGAATAAGGCCGGGCTTCTGCTCACCTTTAGCCTCCCTCTGCAAGGGGGAGAGGTCTGGTTGTACCTGAATGATGCCAGACTCCACCTGCAGATCCAGAAAGGAGGCCGCGTACTGCTGGAGCTCAGTACAGGTCAGTCTGCAAGATTCCATGAAGTATACCTTGAGCCTTGTCAATTTACAACTACAAATGTCAGAGTATTCTCTTCAGAAGCTTTGCACATATAGAGACTAAAGGTTCTGTCTCTGTTTTGTTTCTTTGTAAAAGCTCAGGCTTGTTTATCCCATTGTTTTTTTTTTCAGTTTCTAACCTCTATACTTAAATATAGGCTTTATCCATTGACAACGCTCTGTTGGATCAGGAACACAACTAAGGGATCCAGGACACTGGCTGTTAAGTACTGAAGTTAGCTAAGACTATTCAAAGGAGATTAGTGTTTTTAAAGTTATCTCTTATCTGTCCCTTGTTTGAATTATGCAGGCAAACAGGTCACTACGACCTTAACCTATTCCACATGTTCCCTTCTACCATGTCTGCTGTGTTCCTTGGTCTCCATGATGCTGTTGGCTTTATAATGTACTCTAACAGAGAACTTCAAACGAACAGCTGGATTCATAGAGATACAATATGGGATAGATTACACCGGAGCATTGCAAACACTTATTTAAAGCAAACAATGTTTTCTTAACTTTAGTTTATTTTACTTAATTTGAGAAGGAAAATAAGATAATTTGCAAATGAATGTAGTATTTTTCCCTTAAGTAAAGACATTTAGACTGTGATTGGGGGCTGCATGGTGCTGCATTTTATAGCGTTGTTTCCTTGGAAGAAGAAGGTTTTGGGTTAGGTTCCCTGCCCGAGATCTTTCTGCATTGAGTTTGCATGTTCTCCCTGTGCATGCATGGGTTCTCTCTGGGTACTCCGGCTTCCTCCCACGGTCCAAAAACATACCTCTTGGGTCAATTGGCTTCTCTGCCAGAGATAGGTACAACCCACCGTGACCCTGACAGAATTATATGGAAAGATGAATCGATAGATTGTCATTGTATTCATTAAATAAAACAAGATAATAGAGTTGGTTTTCTTTTTTTGTTTGTTTGCTTATTTCCATTTGTAAATTTTTGAAATCAAGGGAAACTGCACTTATTTCTTGAAAATGTGACGCATAATCCAATATTTGCAGTGAATTATTTAGGGATATCCATGTAAAGGGAGCTGAACACATATAAACTTCACACTCTTAGCTTTTTTAACAATCATACATCCAATTTTTGCTCTAATCTATTTTTCCTAGGATCCGCATTAAATGATGGTCAGTGGCATATGGTGGACCTTACCTCCAGGCGAGGACGTCTGACTGTCTCTGTGAATAAACAGAAGGGTGGCGTCGCTCATGCGTCTCCCTCCTTTCCTGTCATGGTATTAGACCAGATCTTCTTTGGAGGTAAAGATTAAACGTTGTTGGAAAGTATTAAACTTAAACCTGTATTTGCTGAGTATTATATTTGTTCATCAATAGAATACAATATAATAGAAAACGATACAGTACAATCCAATAGTTACTGTCCCTAAATGGGCTCACTTAGGTTTGCCATCACCAAAATAACAGAATAAACATCAATAGATTGTTTATTGTAAACACAAGACAATGTAAAGAACAACAGTAATTTCATGGGACATATGCAGCATCCTTTGTTTTTTTGTTGCCCGTAAATGTAATGTATGTATCTGAAGTCTCTAGGATGTAAAATAAAGTCTGATTGAGTCACTCCAAGTGCTGCATAGGTATTTGTCAGGTCCTGTGGGTTCAGTTAAGGTTTTGTTTTGGATCAATAGGGCTTTCCATATTCAGGTTGTTTTTTTTTCTGTTTGAGGTTTTCTGTTTGCTCATTTGCTTTGTGCCAGGTGTCTTCTAGGCAAGGCATGGCACGTTTATTTATGGCACAATTCACTACAAAGAGAATTCAAAGTGCTGCACATGAATTAAAAATAAAATGAAATAAACTAGAAGGAAAAAAAAGGCATGATAAAAGCAGGATTAAAAACATGATAAAAGCAGGTAGTGAAGAAAATTAAACAGTTGGTCCACAAACTAATGATACTTGAGATAACAGTCAAAGGGCGTTCTAAACAATAGGGGGTTTTTAACTTTGACTTAAAATAGCTCAGGCTTTCAGCACTTTTACAGTCTTCTGGATGTTTATTCCAGATAAGCGGCTTCTAGTGTATTTCTCGCTATGTATTTCTCAGTGTTTTTAGTTGGTTTTGTCTCTCCTTTCTGTAGTCATTATTCCTGTAATTTTAGATTGGTTCTCTTAGTTTCTTCCTAGTGTTTTTCCCACAGAATCTCTATTAAAAAAACAGTATAAATTCCTCTAAACTTTCAGTTTAAACCTCATATCTATAAAGACCTAATACAGAACTTAGAGCCACATTATTATCATAAAGTTAGGTTCTGCTTTGGTATTACAGAAGCTAACAACAATTAGCTTCTGGGACAGCATTGATCTAGGCTCCACATCAGCCTCCACTTATTTTCTCATAATATTTAAAAAATTGTTCTAACCTCAACATGATCTCTCTTACATTGAAGAAACAAAATAAAAGAACTCCATTCTCAAATTGGTCCAAGCTACGAAAAGATGGTGTGGAGTGCTCCAAGTCTTCCAGATCGTCTCACCTGCTTCACCCAATTAGAAAGCAGATCAGGATCCTAAGGAAACTTAAATAAGCCACCATCCTCCTTATAGGGGCTGAAGCAAATAGCGGCGACACACAGCGAAGACATGGCTGTATCTCAATCCATGAAATCGTCAACAATTGTACATAACAAACTACAGTTCCAGCTCTCTGTCGTTCTCATGTATTCGTCACTCCGGTTTCCTCCCTCAGTCACTGAGCAGTATAGAAACCTCTGAATAATGACGGCACCTTCAAATTATTACATTTATAATCAATATTGACGTTTCGGTCTACAAAAAATATTAGAAAATGCCAATATCGTGTCTTCAACACTTTAAGTTGTTATCAGTATTAATAGTCATAAGTTTCCTTCTTGTTTCCTGTTTCTTTCTTCTCCAGACACAATAATTTCATCAAATTTACTACCCCGCTGCTTTTTACACTTTTGTCCAGAACACCTTATTATGACAATGTTTTTATATTTTTTTTGGGTCACCTTTTTTAGTCTGTTATGTTTTGAACAATAACATCACTGTATTTGTTGAAGAACTGCTAAACAAGGTAATTCAATTCAGGGTAACTTACATTCTTATTCTCACAGAGGCATAAATACAGTAAATGCAACACACCTTTGTGATGATTTTTCAATGCAGAGCAATGTCTTCATTTACCTCCTGCTGTGGGTGAGATTTTGGCTCTAACATGTTAAGCTGGAGGGAAAAGTCGCCCTTCATTTACATATATTAATTAAGTTGTTAATAAAAAGTTTATAGGGAATTGTATATCCCCTATCAAACTACAGAAAATGGCCAAACAAAATGGTCTTTTGGATTTCCTCAAAATAATTTGGTCTCAGATGCTCCTCAGAACAGAAGCAAAATAAGGATCTATAAACCAACAATAAGGATGAATTTAGACCATTACAGTGTGAATTTTTATAAATCTACAACTGAATGATTTAAATGTCAAACGAATTATTTAAAAGCATGATCTGTTCACTTTAAACATTTATATAATAAATATAACATTCATATATATATATATATTTATAATTATATATTTATAGCACGTTAAATATTTAACAGTTTCCTCAAACTGTTGGACTTCTTTGTATGTGTGATAGATAAAAGCCAACACAAAATGCCAAACATCTAAAATACAATTAGGTCTGTTTTCATTTGTACTGATGTGTATTATATCAAGCAGAAAGAAGCGATAAATTTATGTTTACGTTATGTTCTATTTGATAGTTAAAGTAGCTTGTTTCTTTGTTTCTACAAATGTGTAATCACACTTTTTAAGTTCAAAGTTGTTATTCAAAGTCGGATTTAAGCTTGCTGTTTGGACGACATTTTAGCTGCTATAGAAAAAAAAGACTTTAAGATTTGTGCAACCCTCATAATAAAAAGCAAATGTCATGAGCAGCTTAAAGTGAAGTAGCTTGTACAGATTATGTTAGGCCCAAAGATCTGAACCTCAGTGCCCCTCAAAAAACTAATGAATACAGCTTGATAGAGGACAAAGCTGTGAATCTTTTACTACTCAACAAGCTGAGTTTTAGTATTATGTGAGCGTTGAAACATACCAGGAGTGGAGTTTGAACCGACAATAGAGATTCATCTTTTGGATCCTCAGCTCAGTATCTGAACCACTTAGCCATCCTGGTGTTTCTCATATGCCTCCCAATTCACCCCTCAATATCACCCACCAGAGGTTACTGTTACCCAACTTAAATATTGGATATGCTACGCCTGCTAGCATTCTATATTCATTAAAGTTAAAGGTTTACCCAGTTTTTCCTCTCTCTTTTTTTAATCGCTCTTTATCTTGATTTCAAGCCAATTCTCTCTCTCCTTTTTCTTTCCTTTTACCATATTCAGACATTCCAGCCTTTTGCTCCATCCGTCGTCCCTTTGTTTCATTTTTTCACCACCTAAACTGCCGCCTGTTGTTTTTTTGCCCACTCAGCAAGATTGTGGTCCAGACAAATTCTCATTTCTGCCTTAGGTTCTTCATCATCTTACATATGCAGATTTAAATACTACCTCCTCCTCCACATTTTAATGGACTACAGAAGGGAAAGAAATAGTTCCTCCTTTTAGAGGTATATTAAATTCTTCCGAGCCACATGATAAGAAGCAACACACCATAAATCAAGGAGTATCCTGTATCTTAAAACACATTCATCAATTTCACTGTCATGTTAGTTTTGTATGCATTTTTACTTAGTTTTAATTCTCTTTATTGATGTAATCTTTGCTTGTGTGTTTGAATCTCTTCTCTGTTGCTCTTTAAGGTTGTCCTGCTCAGAATTATAATCAGGATTGTAGAAACCCTTACGACACGTTCCAGGGCTGCATGCGCCTCATCACTTTGGACAGCCAACCAGTTGACCTGATCATGGTGCAGCAGAGGCTTCTGGGAAATTACAGCCAACTCCAGATCGACATGTGCGGCATCATCGACAGGTCAGAGTGACCAAAAGTCATCCTGTTGGTCTACAGTTAGAACATAATTTTCCAGCACCTGCCGATGATTTTCAGTTAAAGCAAATGACTTCCTTTGTGTTTACAGCAATAATTTTTGAGGAAATATGCTTATGGGATTCTGGGAGTGTTCAGGGTGCAGTATAACATTTGGCACAGACCTAATGTATTGTTTCTGCAGCAAAATGATTTACTGCCACACAGGAGAGCAGAAGGTTTTGCAGAAAATTTAAGAGATGTTTTTTTCTCCTGCTAGTCTTGCTTCTTAATAACAACTAACAGTGTTTTATTTGCTGTCATTTTAGATTCTATCAATGTAAATTTGTGATTGCATTCTAATGTAATAAATTATTATGCAGCATCCAAGAAGTATTATAAGCATAGCTCATTCTGCACCCATACCGTAGACTGTTTTGTGTGTTGCTATTCTTTCAAGTTCTGCATTACAATGCAACATGGAGAGCATACTGAAACTGTCAGCCTGCCCAGTTTAAGCGCTATGATATTGCATTAACATGCATTCTGCATGATTTGGATATGAACTAAACAAAGAGGCCTCACAATGACCATTTATACCTGGCATTAAAATCAACCTTTTTCAAGAAGAATCTTTCTTTGCAAATGAGACAAATCACTCAGTGGGGAACATTAACACAGTCATCAACTCGTCTGTTAATCTTTCTTTAACATCACAGTTATATTAAGTCATTACAAATTTGGATTTTTTTATTTCAACTTAAAATATTTAATAACTTTAATATTAGAGTTGTTCGAATTCCGATTATATTTATGCAGATGATAGTCAGATATATTTGCCTATTAAAAAGAAAAATGCTGAAGAAGTAACTGAAGATATGGTGTTTTGTCCCAGTAACCTTTGTGAATCCTAGAAGTACCAATGTCCAACTGAAAGCTCAGAGGGGGCGGACCTTTTTCAGCTCCCCCTCTATATTAGACAATCCTCTTCAATGTCAATTTTAAAAATTCAAACTTGAAAGGTTTAGTTTAGCCAAAATACTCAGGGTTGCCTAAAACTTTAAGTACATAATTTGTGTAATTCCACTCAGAGTAAAGCTTCCCAAAGTGGAAAAGACAGGGCATTCAGAAATAAACCCAAGACCTTGCCTTGTGCAGTGCAATTCAAGGAATGAGGTAAATTTTTTACTCTATCATTGTATGTCTATTCCAAGGAAGGTATATAGTTTCTAAAGCAAATTTACCAGGAGTGGGGTTTGAACCCACGTGGACATTTGTCCATTGGATCTTAAGTCCAACGCCTTAACCACTCGGCCATCCTGGTACCTGCAACAATGCAACATTGTTGTTTAATGGGCTTCTTTATTATTTTTTTCCTGTTTTTCCAAATCAAATGTGCTGTACTTGCGTGATATCCTCTCTTCCTTGTTTTATAACCTGGCAGAAATATAGCCCGATCCAAATACCTAAACTTGTAGCCCCTACCTTGTTCTGGCTCCCATCCACTCACCTTTCCTGGGGTTGTCAATAAGAACACTGTCCACGGTAGCAAAGGAGTTCTTGTCTGTTATGCTGAATACAAACAGCCTTCAGACATTTAGGAATCATTTGGGGACAGAGACTGTGTTTATTTAAACTCCATGTGGTGTGTTGTGCCTATAGGTCCTTTCACTCAAAATGACACGCAAATGACAATAAAAGTTGTCTAAGTCAATAAATTGTGGGCAGCTCTAAAGCTCCTAGCGACAGCTACTGTAAATAGGGATGTCAGGATGTCCCTATGCTAAATGCATCGGCACTACGAAGCATACTACTTCATTGTCCTAGCTCCTTTCTTACCACCAGTACAACCTAGATACAGCTACTAGTACTGGAAGTGCATCTACAACGTAGATTGTCATTACTGAATAGCAGAGTGTGTATGACGACATCCGCGCACGTCAGCTACCAGTCATTCATCCTGTCCGCTGAACTGCTGCTAGTTTTACTCTCATGCCTGGAAGATGTCTAGTGCTACTACCACAGATGATCTCGATCTAGCCAAATGAATAGAAGGGGTAGAGCGTAGCCGCCTGTGGCCCGGGCTGCCTGTCACAACTCCAGTCCGGCGCGCGGATGACGTCATACACACTCCACTTTGTTTTAAAAAAATATAAATATAAAAAATATAACTGCGGATGTTTGGAGGACAGTGATTCGCCTACATGTTATGAATGCTGGCGTGCTATAAATGATAAATTATGAACAGTTTAGTTTGCGCCTTCAAGTCCTTGCCCATAGGAAGACGCTACTTGGATATTACAAAACCGAATATCTTCAGAACAGCTCCAAATGACACAAAACTAATATGGGTGAGTAGAACATGATGTAATAACGCAAAATCAAGGAGCCAATGTAAAAAAAAAAAAACGGAATTCCCCTTTAACCGTTAGTTGATTACTTTCTTTATTGATGATTTAGCAATTATGTATACCACACTTTCATGATAAAAGAACAGAGAGGCTGGTATATTGATTTGTTGAAAGTCCAAACTTTGATTCATGTGCTCATTTAAATTTTTCCTTAGTTACTTTTATTGTTTTTGGGTTATAACTTTATATAATAGGTAAACCTTTAGCAGCTGTTTTGGATATTTTGGCTGAGCTGAAGCCTTGTGCTTTTTATCAATCTATGATATAAACACATAAACAAAAGTATAAAAATTGAAAACAGAATTGATAAATTAACTAAAGCAGACGCTCATGCTAATGGCATTTCAATTAAAGGATAGAATATTATTGCTTGTAATTACTAAGCCAGAAATAACCACAGGCAGCCATGTTTATTTATTCAGCCCAATGAAAAATCCAAGATATTTTTACTATGCTCTATGTTGTGTTTATTTATTTATTTATTTTATTTTATTTTTTTTACTTTTTTTTCCATTGTTTGCCCACTTTTAAAAAGGTTGTTGCAGTTATATCCATTTTAAAAATGTCAGATAATCCTTAAGGACCCTCTGCTCTTGGTTTTATGAATTGCTTCTACCTCAAAGCTGTTTTTTTCTTGGGCCCTTAAGACCAAAAACTTAAGGAACAAAAAAGATGTTGCTCTGCTGTGATGTTGAGGCCAACACACAGATCATGTTGCTCACTGAAACAGAAAAAGAGAAATAAAATCACAGCTCTCCACACTCCCACACTGATTAAATTCAGGGTCCGTGAGATATGAAGTTATAAGGAAAATTGAGTTGCGGACCCACCTTCCATACGCTTGTCTGACCTCAGATCAAACTATTACATCTGTGTTTGTGTGTCGATGTCCAGACTAAAGGGCAAAGTAACCCCATGCAATAAGCAGAATGCAGGAGCAGCCACGCGTTTAATTGATCCGAGCGATCAGTCTGATGACAGGATTTGAACTGAATCAGCAGCTCTGTTCTTATTACAAAAGTTCTGACAGAGGTGTTCATTTTAGTTTCGTTGTTGAAGATTTTAGGACCCTGCGGACTCTTGTTAGCTTTTTTATTAAGATGCTGCTCCATCTTTAGCCTATCAGGTAAAAAAGTAACTGACTTATAACTTCTTTGGTAAATTACAAAAATTAAGGACTTTAAAGAGCATCAGTTTTTCCTACAGTATCTTCCAGGCTATAGAGACATTGTGATATCTCCATATTTTAGCCACTGCCCTACCGCTTATTGAGCTCATTCTCGCAAAATGTGATAAATACTCAATCTATAAAGCCTTGAACTCAACACTAATGATGACATTTTGAATAGAAAAAGCTTCCTGGATGGGAAGCCAAACGTCTTCAAACTTGGAATCAAAGTCCAGTTTTTTTAACTTTTTTGGAAAGAAATACTCAGTCTACTCATGAATCCAAATACGCCACGCCATCATCGTCAAACTATTTCCGGTCTTCTTCTTCTTTCTGCAAAGAAGTAAGGCTCAACTGCAGACTTGTGTGATGTGAAAAAAGTGATTCCATTCATTTGCAATTTTGCAAAACTGCAATGGACATGACACAAAAACCTTTTGTCAGTAAATGTGACTTATTTTAGTATATTGCAATGTTTCCATTCAGCTCCTTTGTTTTTGTAATTATAATTTGTAATTTAATGGTATAACAAGATCAGTCACCGTTGGCCCCTTAAATTTCACTGAACAACCACCTTTGGGTTTCAATTTGTCAAATTTAAATGGAGTGACAACATGCAAAAGATGAGATAACGCTGTACTACCAGGAGTGGGGTTTGAACCCACGAGGACATCTGTCCATTGGATCTTAAGTCGAACGCCTTAACCACTCGGCCATCCTGGTTCCGGGTTCTCCAGTAGATCATACATTCAACTTGATTCAAACCTTTCTCTCTAAGGTTGATCACATTGACTCATTAACTCAAATGCTATCCCTCACACTAAGCATGCTTGCAGGGACAGTGGAGAGAAGAACTCCCTTTTTAGAGGAAGAAACCTCAAGCAGAACCAAACGGCCATCTGCCGAGACCAACTGGGGTCCAAGGAAACAGAAGCAGGGATACAAAAAGCAATTGTAAAAGGCGGCCCCGTCCAGGAAACACACAGCCAGGCAGACGAGTTCTGAGCCAGCTCCTATGCAAGATGAAGAGGGCATACAGAAAACACAGGCCGATCTCGAACACATACAAACAAAGGTGCCGATGGCAGCAGCACAGCTGATATTTCTCTCCAGGATGGTTTCACAGCCAAACAGGAACAGACAAGGCAAAGCTAATATGAGAAAAAGCAGAGAGAGCTTAACGTTAGAGGAGAACCGAGTACTGATCTAGGTGAGAGGCAAGCCGGTTGTTTCTTTGTGTCAGATTTAAGGACTCCTAACAGGAGTCCTAACAGGAGTCCTAACAGGAGTCCTTAAATAGGCCTCTTTGTGCTTATAACCAGTGTCTCCCAATTTTTTAGGGTGGCTAAAGTGTTAGTATGCAGAATGCAGCAAGGCATGTGCCACATCCTCCCAGAAACTGTTACCCTGATGTATTATATAAAAAA